TTGTTTCAAATCATACAATATCCCGGAAATTCCGAAACGACGTTCCGGAAATTCTGGGATCACATAAATGAGTTCCACAAATTCCGGAATTCCACATCACATGCTTGGCGATACGGCGTCGTGAAAAGGGCCTTTTGTCGCCGTTCAGATTGAACGGCGGTCGTTCGGGGAGTTGTAACTATTTTGTCGATTTTGTTTGAAGCGGTCGACGCGAAGCCAGCGTTGTTGAAATCGGGATGCATCGCACTTGCGGCAATCGTGGATAACATCGCTATTCTCAGCATTGGCACCGCACCCCTTTATACCGCATCCCTTTGCGACCTCCAAAAAAAGGTGACCCTGCAATGGACTATTTGATGAGGTTTTCATTTGATTGATTCCTTACGAAGGACAACTTACGGAGGATTCCTTATTCAGGCTGCCATACCTTGGGTCTTGCTTAATATTTCATTGGTACGATTCTTTGCTATTGTTTTCTTATTCAGACCAGTCTATTCCTAATTCCTTACCCGGGAATCCTTACCAAGGATTCCAAACGAAGGATTCCCTCGAGGATGCCGCATTATTATTCTGCTCAGGATTCCAGATGAAGGATTCTTTATTGCAGAATTCCCCATTCGGAATTGGATACAACACATGTTTTCATCAAGGATCCCTACTGAAAGGTTCCGTGTTGAGAATCCTTGTGTTGGATTTTTATCTGAGGATTCATTACCAAACATTATTTATCTAGGATTCCGTATTGCGGATTCCCCGCTCAGGTTTCTTTGTTGGGACAAATGAATCCTCACATCGGCGAAAGCAGCATCGGCGCAGTTTGGATACAGGAATCACCTTGGCGCAGTTTTGATACTATATGCAACTGTGCGTATCGCGGCGTGAGATGGAGCTCCCTTTGGTGCCGCGAAACATGTGCGGGGTGTGCCGAAGTGGGCGCGGTGGTGCCATGCGAACGTGGCCACTGGGGCCTTCGGTGGAGCTCTCCATGGGGCCACGATGCGTGTGAAGGATGCGACATGGGCGCGGTGGTGCCATGCGAGCGCAGCCGCTGGGGCCCTCGGCGGAGCTCCCCATGTGGCCACGAATCGTGCGAGGGGTGCGCCGCCATGGGTGCGGCAGTGCCATGCGAGCGCAACCGTTGGCGCCCTCGGTGGAGCTCTTTGTGTCGCCACGATGCGTGTGAGGGGTGTGCCGACATGGGCGCGGTGGTGCCACGCGAGCGCATCCGTTGGGGCCCTTGGTGGTGTTCCACATGGGGCCACGAAGCGCTTGAGAGGTGTGCCGACACGGGCGCGGTGGCGCCACGTGAGCGCAGCCATTGGGGCTTTCGGTGGGGCTCGCTATGAGGCCACGAAACAAGTGAGGGATGTGCCAACATGGGCGCGGTGGTGCCATGCGAGCGCAGCCATTGGGGCCTTCGGTGGAGTTCCCTATGAGCAGCGCAACGTGTGAAGGTTGTTCCGTGCGAGCGCAGCCATTAGAGCCCTCGGTGGAGCTCCCCGTGGGACCACGAAGCGTGTGAGGGTGCCATGGGAGCGCATCCACTGCGTCTTTCGGTGGTCCTTATGAGCAACGGAAGGCGAGAGGGGTGTACCGAATTGGACGTGGTGGTGCCATGCAAGTTCAGCCATTGGAGCCATCGGCGGAGCTCCCCTATGGGGCCGCGAACTTTTGAGAGGTGTGCCGAAATATTTGGGTGCGGTGGTGCCATGCGAGCGTAGCCACTGGGGTCCTTGGTGGAGCTCCCCATGGTGCCAAGAAGCGTGTGAGAGGTGTGCCGACATGGGCGCGGTGGTGCCATGTGAGCGCAGCAATTGGGCCCCCCAGTGAATTCCGTTTATGGGGCCACGGAACGTGTGAGGGGTGTGCCGACATGGGCGCGGTGGTGCCATGCGAGCGCAGCCATTGGGGTCTTCGATGGGGCTCCCCATGTGGCCACGAAGCGTGTGAGGGGTGTCCCTGAATGGGCGCGGTGGTGCCAGGCGAGCGCAGCCATTGGGGCCTTCGGTGGGGCTTCCTATGAGGCCACGAAGCGTGCGAGGTGTGTGTGTGTGTGTGTGTGTGTGCAGACATGGTTGATTTATGCGGAGGGCAGAGGCAAGGAGGAGGAGGAGGAGGAGGAGGGAAGAGGGGGGGATGAGGAGTGACGTGGGGGCGCTGTCTCTTCAAAACGAGGTTTCAGCACCACAGGATGGTTGGACAAAGAGAGAGAGAGAGAGAGAGAGAGAGAGAGACCGTAGCCATTTTGGCTCAAGCTGCACTGGATCAGGCCGTGCGCCGCTCGGGCCCGCGCCCGCCGCCCGCCCTGCGTGATGGCCGCTGCTGGGGTCGCCGCGCTTGCCGACGCCAGCGGCGCGGAAGCGGCGCGCCGCGGAGCCTTGGAGGCTGCCCGCGGCGCGCTCCTGGAGGCGCGCGCTGCCGGCGGCCTTGCGGGGGAGGCCTCGCCCCGCGGTGGGGCGCGCCCCCTCGCCGCGGCGGAGGGCCTGCCGAGGTCGGCGATCGCCGATCTCGCGGCCCGCCGCCCTGCCGACGCCCACCGCCGACCTCCTGGACACGCGAAGGGCGGCCCTGCTGACGCGACCCCGAGGCTGGCCCGCGGCCGCCAGGCGCCTGGGGGCTGGGGGCTGGGGGCTGCGGCGCGGGGGCGGCTGCGGCGCCCGCTGGCGAGGCCTTGGCGGAGAGGGGGGGCTCGCGCCCGCCTTCGCCCCTGGCCGATGACAGCTGGGTGGACGAGCTGCCCGCGCGGCGCGCGGGGGCAGCTTCGAGCAGCGGGGCTGCGGAGCCTGGAGGCGCGCGCGCGCGAGCCTGGCGCTCGGGCCGCCGCCTGCTGCTCTTGCGGCGCGTGCTGACGAGGACGAGAAGATGGAGGCGCAGGATGAGTGGCACTCCACGCCGCCTTCGGAACCAGAGGGGGTGGCGGCCGCCCGCGCGGCCGTGGTCGCTGGCCAGCGACTGCGGGTCTGCGAGGGCCCCAGGGCAGGCGCCGTGGTGAATGGGGGTCGGGCTCATCCTTCAGGACGACTCCATCGCCTTCGTGCAGTCCGAGGGCGCCGACGTCGCTAGCCTGCCGTTCTCTGCCCCTGAGCCGCTGCCCCTGTGGCCGCCGCCTGGCCGCCGAGTCGGCGTCAGGCCCCCCCCGCGTGGCGGGCCAAGTCGGCGTGGGGCGAGAGCTCTGGGGGGCAGGGCGCGCGGCGGCAGGCGGGGCGCAGGGCGCGGCTCGCTGCGGCTGCTGGCCCTTCCTCGCGGGGCACTTCGGCGGCTCGCTGGAGGCCCCCTGCCGCGTCGTCGCCTTCGGCTGCATCACGGCCGGGGGGCTTGCTCGGAGGCGCGGCCCCCCGCGGGTGCGCGGGCCGACGGCGCGAGGCGGGCGCTGCCCCCGCGGGACACCGGCTGCGCGCCAGCGGGCGGGCCTCGAACCGTCCGCCGTCGCGCCGACGGCGGTGCGAGAGAGAAAGAGAGAGAGAGAGAGATACATAAATGCAGAGAGAGAGAGAGAGAGAGAGAGAGACGGAAACATAGGGAGAAAGAAAGAGAGAGACAGACAGAGAGAGAGATATTGAGAGATAGGAGTAGAGACACGCACGCGAGTCTCACGAACACATTCTTTGAAATCCACCTGTTTCCCTTTCCCACGTGGAGCCGAATGAACGCAGTCTCAGGATTCCGTACACGGTGTCACTTATGCAGGACTCATTACGAAGGGTTCTTTATTGCTTTCAGATATCCCTTCGGCTGAGTTGTTCCTACGGCTTCGTACTCAGGACTCCTTAACAAGGATTCCCCCACTAAGGTTTTTTATTCAGAAGTTCAGAACGCGGATTCCGTCCGTAGGAATCCTCATAAGGATTCTTTGCGAAGGCATTCTTGTGGATGACCCTTTAGCGAGGAATCCCGATCGAGGGTTTCAAGGATGCTGGCATACGGATTCCCCACTAACGGTCTTTAGTGAAAATCTCTGACTGAGGATTCCTTACGAAGGATCTCTTACCCGGGATTCCTTACAACAGGGCTCCTTATCAATGACTCTTTCGCATGATTTTATCAGTAAGGACTCCCGGGGAAAGATAATGATTTTAGGATAAGGGTTCCATTCGTATGAGTTCTTATTGAGGTCTCCTTACGGAGGTTTCCTTACAAAAGGCTGCCCTGCTTTGGATTCCTGACTACGAACTCTTTTGTAAGGGTTCGTATCATTGGTTTATAGTGAAGACGGGATTGTTCACGACTCCTTACTGAGGATTTCAATTTGCGGATTCCTTACGAAGGGTTCCCCACGAACTCTCCCCACTTAGCGGTCCAGATTAAGGGTTCCTTGTTAAGCATTCCCTACGCAGGATTTCTCACAACACATTCCCGACCAAGGATCCCTACTAACGACTCCTGACTGACCATCCTATACTCAGGATTCAGTGCTAACGATTTCTTGCTATTGATTCATCATTCCCGATTTATCAGTGAACACTACTAAGCAACGATGTTCCATTCATGTTTCCTTGATCGGAAACCGCTGTCAAGGAATTCCTACATAGCTAAAGAAGCATCTGCGCTGTTTTGAGAAAGGGAAAGAGGGAATTACATACCTATATATATATATAACAATAAGAGAGAAATAGAGACATATACAGAGATAAGCAAGAGAGAGAGAGAGAGAGAGAGCGAGAGCGAGAAGGGTATATTAAGAGAGACGGAGACAGACAGACAACTATAGAGAGAGAGAGAGAGATTTGCATACGAGTCTCAAGATATCACTCCTAAAATCCACCAGGCCCCCCTTCTCACCTGGAGCCGAAGGACCACAGTCAGGCCGCATCTCAGAGATGATTGACTTTCCAGGGGTCCCCTAGCGTCCCAGCCCCCTCGGCCCATCCTGGCCGCCAGTTGTTGGCCATCGTCTTCCAGCTTCGGCCTCAGCTCGGGCGTCCAAGGGCCTGGCATCCCCCCCGCGCACACCTAGGATCCAGTCGCACAGCACGGTGTGAAGGGGCCCCTCCGCCGCCCAGGGTGCCTCCCAGAGCGCGATGGAGAGCCGGCGGCTCCCGAAGGGAGGCGTGAACTCCAGGAGCTCCCCGCGGCGGGCGCGGCTGCGTCGGCGCGGGGCCAGCTCGGACGGCGGCCGGGTTCCATCACCATGTCGTGCTGCAGCGGCGCCGCAATGGGTGCTCACCAAAGAGTACTTCGTGGAAATTTGCCGAAAGTTGCAACCTGAGGGCCTCTGTCTGGCATTGCAGCGTTGCCCACATCGGGGAGGGTGGGGTTCGCCGGGTCACTGGCCAAAGTACCTGTTAGTGGAGCCCCCGTTAGACGGGCGCTGAGTGTTGCCGGCGTATGTTTCAGGGGAGGCCTTGCCGCATTCGTTTGAGATCCTGGGAAGAAGTCGCACTGTGAGAGGTCTGGGGCGTGGTGGCATCCGTTTTTTTAGCTAGCGTACCACTCTCGTCGGTCCCGCACCACCGAGAGCCTCAGAGATTTTGCGCCGCCAGTGCGGCGGTCGGGCCAGAGCGGAGCGTCGACCCTTCACAATAAAGGGTGCCGCTGTGTCCTGCGTATCGCGCCCCATATTTTTGTCGCGTCTGGAGCATGGGTTTACCTCGAAGGGGGCACCCGCTGCAATCGTCCCCTTCTGCACAACAAGTAGTCAACGGCGGCCGAAGCTTGAATCATTCGTTGGGGGGTTGCCGCGGGCTGCTTGAGGAAACGCGGGGCCCGCGGGGCAGTACGCTCCTCTTCGTCTTCCTCCGACGGCGAAGTGTCCGGCTGTGCGGACCACTCCCGGTGCGCTGCCGGCGTAGCGAGCTCCCGCCCTCATCATTTATCTTGTTCTTCGTCGTTTTCTTCGTTTTCATCTCCGTTATTGCCTACTTTGTCCTTCTACCTCCTCCCCTTCCTCTTCATCTGGTTTTCGTTTGGCCATCTCTTTGTCCACCTCTTCCTCCCGTCGTCCCCCTCACCAAAGACATGCTTCTGACACTTCGACGCACCCAGCGACGCATGCTACGATTCATTGTCTATACCTCGAGGGCTGCCGACAGAGACCGCATCACAGCAGCACCGCCGAAAGCTCAACCAACTCCGACACGGGACAGCATGGCGGCAGCACAATCGATAACAGCAAGTCCGACGTCAGAAGGCATCTGGATTTTGACGGCGTTGACGACGAATCCGACATCGAATCCTGGGACAATTTTATTCGCAGGGCTACCCACGTTGCCTCAGATCTTACAACGGACGCGTGCGCATGTATAGGGATGGATTACAATATATCACAAACGTAAATGGAAACGAGCGGGGCGAGTTGCCGCACAGTCACACCACAGTCGGGCCCGACAGGCAGCGGCACGGGAACCTGATATCCATAACCCCCGGGCAGCACAACGCCGACACGGTGGAGTGATGACACTGCAGAATGATTACAGGAGGCTCTGGTTGACAGCGCACACGGCACATGGCTGCAGAGCACGACAGAACCTCGAGAGCGACTTCTTGCACTTCACACCTCTGTGCCTAGGCTCCGGCCCGCCCGCGCCGCCTCGAGTGGGCCTGCCGGCCCGCCGGCTGGCGGACTCGCGCGTCTGCGTCTGCGTCTGCATCCCCCTCTTTTCTGTGGTTGCTGCTGCTCGTCCTCTTGCGGCTCCTGCTTTCCCGCCGCATTTCGCGATGAAGTTTGGGCCCTGAGGGAAGGGGTCCCGCGGGGGATTTGGCCAGGGGGTGGGAATGGCACAGAATATCATGCGGCCAAGATGCTGAAATAGAAACCACTCGGGTCTCTGGTTCTCTGGCTGTTCTTTACACTCGGGTCACGCAGCCTCGCCGTGGCCAGGGGGGCCCCGTCGTTCCTCATGCAGCAGTCCTTCCGGTAGTACGATCGGTCTATCACAGGGGCCCAGTGGAACTCTCAGGATGCACTTCGGGAAGCGGAGCAGGCGCCTCTTGGGCTCCGCGGGATCGCGCGCGCTCCAGCATCTTACTGCGCTGCAGCCTCGTAGCCATTTTGGCTCTGTCGCTTTCGGGCCAAGCCGCCCTTGGCACGTCATCCTGATTCCGAGACGGGCCGTCGACGACACTGCACGAAGCAGCCATGGCGCACGCCTCGCCGATCAGTGCGCTAATGGTGTTGGCTCTTGGGGCTTTTGGCCTCCGTTGCGCACTCGTGCCGGCGCCCCAGGGCCCCAGGGCTCCGCCCGCCTAGAGATCCCATCCGCCGTCGCCGCGGCGGTGGTGGGCCCCGCGCCCGCGATCGCCGCGGAGATCGACGTCGCCGAGGCGTACAACCGGTAGGTCTTGGAGGGCGCAGCCTATGGCGGGATGTTGTGCATCTTCATGCTCGGCCTCATCGTCCAGGGGGTCCAGAGGGACGTGGACAACAAGTGGCTCAACCGAGAGGGTCCTCTGCTAGCCGCTAGTCTTTCGTCCACGCGGAGCAGGAGGAGAGTGATATACACACACACACACCTCTTGTTGGAGTTTTCCGCACGCCTTTGGCTCGGTGGGCCACCGAATTCTGCGCTCCACTTGGCTGCAGTGGGGGAAGTCCAAGGCCGCGCCATGTCTATATTTCATGTGTTTGTGCATGAGGCCCTGAGGCGTCGCACAAGTTTGTTCAGTTCAGCCGCGCAGCGAGTGCAGACGCAACAACGGAGTCGGCGAGGAAAATCAACATGACTACGTAGCAGCAATAATTAAGAAATTGAACCAGATGTTATTCCGAGGCTGGATGATTGAGCCCATGCGTTAGTAGTGGCAGCGTGTATGAGGGCCCAAGAATGGTTCGATGCTGTCAATTGCGGAGCTGCGTTGATGAGAACTGAGCTGCTCGGTTGCTGAGGCCTCTTCCGCACAGCCTGGCGGCCTTTGCAAGGGAGCAGCGGATTTCCGTCCTACCATCAGAATCGCTCCATGTCGCGCAGTTCTCCTGGGTGAGCGTGCCGCCCGTTGTCCCGCCGTCCAGTCCGAATCCTTCGTCCCCCCGGTGCCCATCTCCATTTTCGGGAATCTTGTCGAGACACTGCCGCCCAGCCTCGCGCTGGTGCGACAGTCATCGCACATGCTCACCGCGAGCGTCCGTCCGTCCTTCTCTGGGCCAAGCCCTGCAGGGACGCGCACCACCCCAGGCTTCGGCCGATGGAGCGGGCTCGGGCACCGGCTGGGCTCCGCAGGTGGGCCCGTGACGCGCCGGCGCCCCCGTGCCCAGCTGGCTGGCGGCTTTCCGGCGAGCGGGGGAGAGCCCTGGGCCAGGGGGCGTGCGCCCGCAGGAGCATCCAGCCCACGACCTTGGCGGGCTACTTGGGCGCGCTGGGCATGCAGGAACGCCGCCGTCGCCGCCGCCGCCGTCTTCGTCGTCGTCGCCGTCGTCGTCGTCGTCGTCGTCGTCGTGGTGGTCGTCGTCGTCGTCGTCGTCGTCGTCGTCGTTGTGGTCGTCGTCGCCGTCGCCGTCGCCGTCGCCGTCGCCGTCGCCGTCGCCGTCGCCGTCGCCGTCGTCGTCGTCGTCGTCGTCGTCGTCGTCGTCGTCGTCGTCGTCGTCGTCGTCGCCGTCCACACGGGCGCCTGGCCGTCGCCGACGACGGCCAGGCGCCCCTGGCCGCGGCGGCGGCAGCAGGCCAGCCGCGGCGACCGGCGCCGGCCAGCCGGCAGACGGCGGCGGCGCAGGGCTGGACGCCCGACGGGGGGCGATTGCGACGGCGCCCTGTGGACGACGGCGACGAGGACGGCGTCGTAGACGACGGCGGCAGCGGGTCCGTAGCCATTTTGGCTCAAGGCCATGGCGATCCCGACGACCGCGAGTCCTTGGGGCGCTGTCGAGCGCGAGGGACGCCGCGCCCTGGGCCAGCTTCTTGCTTTGTGTTTTCGATGCAGCGAGGCCAGGTGGAGCGCGCGGGGCCAGCAGCCATGTCGGGCGACGGAACAGCAACGCCGCCAACCTGGAGGCGCAGGGTGTACTGGGTCTGCTTTTGCAAGGAGTGGAACTGGTGTGACAAGAGGGCGACCTGCAAGTCGTGCGGGAAGGAGGCGCCAGCGTGGGCGAAGCGCCTGCGCGCGGTGCACCTGCCCCAGGCCGACGGTGAGGGCTTCGTCCAGCAGCCCAGGGGGCGTTCGCACCAGCGTGCAGCGCGCCGAGCAGGCGACGCTTCCAGGACAGCCTCGGCCACCAGCACCGTGCCGAGCAGCGCGCCCAACAGCAGGGGGCGGCCGCGGGGCGGAGCCAAGCCGCCGCCTTGGCGTGAGGAGCGCGAGGAGCAGCCAGAGCCCGCGTCGAGTCTGGAGCGCAGGTTCGAGGAAGCCCAGGCTCGCATCTCCAGCCTCCGTGAGGCTGTCGCCATGGAGGGGGCCAGCGAGGCCTTCCAGCGAGAGGCCAGGGCGGCCCTCCTCGCAGCGGAGGCTTCGGCCGAGAGGGCAGAGGCCGAGCTCCGCGAGGCCCAGCGGCTCGGGAGGCCTCCCCACGCCGTCCTCCACGGAGGCGCCAACGCCATGCAGAAGGCCGAGAAGCAGATCACTGCAACCAGAGCCAAGCGTGTACAGGCCTTGCAGCGGGCTGACTCCCTCAGGGGGAAGATCGCGGCGATGCAGGAAGAGCTGGCCGAGGCCGAGTCCGCGGTTGAGGACTTCGACAGCCAGCTCTCCAAGCTCGAGGAGTCGAAAGCTCAGACAGTCCAGCAGGCGCTCCAGCGGGCCATCGAGGTGTGCGGAGGCCAGCAGCCCCTCGAGACAGCGGTCGGGGGCCTCGTCACCCAGGTCGGCCAGCTGGGTGAGATGCTCGGCCGCAACTCGGATGGCGTCGCGCCCAGGCTCCTGGAAATCATGGACATCATCACCACGCAGAGCGCGGCCATCTGGGACATGCTCCACCCCGCTGCGCCTGCTGCCGCGGCCTCGCGCTGGGCCGACGGCCTTGGCGGAGACGGGCTCGCCGTCGACGACGAGGAAGGCCCCCCCGCCCCAGCCGCGGGAGCCTCTGCCCCCTCGGTGCAGTGAGCGCCAGCGGAGGCCGCAGGGCAGCAGGTGCGGCCAGGCCCGCCCACCCAGCGGGCGAGCCCAGCAGTGGGGCCCTACGGGCCAGCCGCCGCCCGCGGGCAGTCAGGCGCGGCGCTCGGCGCTTGGCCTCAGCCCGGCAAGGCCGAGCGCAGAATCCTTGAGGATGCCAGGGACGAGCGCGAGGATGGCCAGGCCTTGGCTACCCTGGCAGCTGCTGGGGGCTACGCTCCTATGGGCCCTCGTCGCTCCTAGCCGCTCGGCAGCAGCGACAGCCTGGGGGCCAGCGCCGCCGCCGCCGCCGTCAGACTGGCCGACCTCGCACCAGGCGCGAGAGGAGCCACGGCGGCAAGGCGGCCCCGCTCCAGGGCCGAGGTGCGGTCGGGACCGCCGAGGCGTCCCCCCGACGGCCTCGCGCGGGCAGACGGCGGGAGGATTCAGCCCTCCGACGTCGCAGCCGTCTGCCCCGCCCCTTGGGGGTCGCGGAGCCGCCGCTGGGCTCACGCCAGCCGCCCTTGAGGCGAGAGAGGGCGGGGCTGCGCCAGCTTGTGTGAGGGCTGCCGCGCAGCTCCGTGCAGGCGTTGACGTGCTGGACATCTACGGCAACACATGGGACCGTGCCATGGAGGGGCTCGAGGCCTACATCGTGCGGGAGGGCGCGCGCTCGCACCTCATCGCGGTCCAGGAGGGTCCCCTTGGGCCCCGCCAGCTGGGGAATGCTAGCCGCCGAGCTCGCGGCTTGGGATACGCGGCCTCCTTGCATGATGCGGCGCCCGCTGGACAGGCGGCCCCTGCCCACTCAGGGGGCGACGGAGTACTTACTCGTGAGGACCTTCAGGCGCGTGAAGCTCAGTGGCGAGTGCCAGGGGACTTCAAGCACCACATGATCGCCGAGGACCTTATCCACAAGGCTGGGCCTACGTCCAGCGCGATTTGGGGGCGTACGGTTACTGGCGTGGCCGACGGAGTGTTGTGCGGTGGGCGTGTCACCGTGTGCCTCTGTGCGGGGCGGCTCCCCCGCGGCGTGGCCCTCGGCCTCAGGATGCGGTGCGCGGAGCTCTGCAGAAGCCTCGGCCTATATCCGCTCGGGCTGATCACGGGCCGCACGCCCCATTTTCTTGCAGGATGGTTACACTCGGGCGAGCTTCCCCTGCCGACTCTCAGGGGGGCGCTCGAGGCTGCAGCCACGCGGCAGGCGTCAGCTGCGGGGCCCTGGGTGCACAGCAACTTCCACGCGGAGGCAGTTGTCCTCACCTTGGGCAGGATCGGCTGGTGCTTCAGGTCCGAGCGGTGCCTCGTCACGGACGTCGGGGACGTGCTGGACTCGACGCTGCTGGGGCTGCGTGAGCTCGGCCTGGAGGCCAGCTTTGATGCGAGGCGCGCCTCGGATTGGCATAAGATGCGTAAGCTGGCCAGTGCCTCTTCTTTGTATGGTTCTTTCGTTTGGGATGCCTTCAAGGAGCTCATCGGGCCAGGTGGCAAGCCCAGCGAGCGCGAGAGGAACATAGTGGCCTCCCACCTCACGTACGCACACGGGCACAGGAGATTCGAGCTCCCCATGCTTGCGGCCCAGCGGAGGGACTCGGCCTCGCCAGCGCTGATGTGGAGCGCCGTGCGGGTTCGCGCCCTCGGAGAGGCAGCAGGGGAGGACGTTGCTCGGAGCTGGTTGTCAGCGCCGCCGCCTCCACAAGGGCCTCGCACGGACGCCATGAGTTTCTGGTGGACATGCAGGCCGCCCGACGTTACGCCCAATGGCAAGTTGTACGAGGACGGCTCATCGGTTGACCTGCAGTTCTGCGCCTTGGGACACGCAAGCTGGGCGATTGCTCAAGGCGACGACGACGGCAGCCTCATCGCGGGCGTCCACGGGACCGTCAGGAGGGTCCTCCTTCCACAGCAGGCGGCGCGCGGCGGTGAGGACTTTGCGGCCTGGAAGATGGTGCACTACGCGGGCCTTGCAGTCGAGGAGGCCCGCATCGACTGCCACGGCACGGCCGAGGGCCCGCGCAGGGAGCTGGCCTATGCGGCGTGCCCGACCGTGGCCAACGCCCACCTCTGGAGCAGGAGCCACGCCGCCCCCGAGCCTGGCGGATCCAGGGGGAACAAGGTTGCCGCCCACGGCAGCAGGCAGGCGGAGCTCGACGGGCGACTCACGGAGGCGCAGAGGCGAAGCACCCTGCACGCCTGCCGCTCCGCCAAGCTGGGAGCACGGCTGCACGCCGAGGATGCCCAGACCGTGGGCGAACACTGCGCCTTGGCGGGCTTCGCCCAGGAGCAGGCCCGCTGGGTGGGCTAGGCGGCGGTCTGCGGACAGCACTTCGCGGAGAAGGACAGTTGCAGCTTCCTCGAGTCCGACGAGAGGCGGCATGTGCGGTTCGCCAACCATGAGGAGCGGGTCGAGCTGCCCGCTCCATGCAGGCCGACGGCGCGGCAGCCGCGAGTGGAGTGCGTCCGCTCGGTGGCCTGCGCGGGCGGCCTCTCCGTCACCACGGCTGGCATCCGCCGCCGCTGCCACTCCCTGGCACACGCGCGCTTCGGCGCAGGCGGGGAGTCCCAGGAGCTGGAGGCGTGCGGCAAGTGCAGCGCCTACATGGTCCTCGGTGGCCAAGCTGGGGGCTGCCCAAAGCTCAAGGAGCAGCGCATCGGCGAGAGGGCTACGGGGCAGCGCAGCCAGCGCCGCCGTCGGGATCGAGGGCTGCACCCAAGGAGTCAACTGCGCGGAGGTGTTCAGCAGCGCAGGGAAGGCGCTGGGATCCCCGCGTTGAGGCTGCAGGGGCCGCCACCCCCAGTGGCCCATGAGGCCTCCCAGGCGAGGCTGGGCCTCGAGGGAGAGGAGGCGCCCCTGCAGCAGGTGGCAGCTCAGCAGCAGCAGCGTCGTGTGATGCAGGCGGCTGCGAGCGCTGGCCAGCAACGAGGACGACGGCGGCAGTGCGGCAAGGGACGGCGGGCAGCGCCCCGCGGGCAGCCATGCTGGCCGCGTACGGCCTGTACGTGCTGGACCTCGCCGAGCGGGTGCTGCCCGCCTACGCAGCCGTGTAGGGACGCCGCGTCCGCCCTCGGCGCGGCCGCGGCCCGCGCCCCGGCGGCGAGCTCGGGCGTGTAGGCAGCCCGCCTGGAGTCGCCTTCATGGCCCCGCGAATCGAATCGAATCGACGGCGGCAGCGGCGGCGACGACGTCGGCGGCGGCGACGACGACGACGACGGCGGCGGCGGCGACGGCGGCGACGGCGACACGGGCTCGGGGTCCCGTCCTCCTTGTCACGGCCTTCGGGGGGTGGCGGGGGCCCTCGTCGCCCCAGCTGCACCCACAGGGCGTGCCACGGGAGCCGAGGCAGGGCGTGCCGAGACGCCGTGCGCAGACCGCACAAGAGGACTGAAGGAGGAGGAGGAGGAGGAGGAGGAGGAGGAGGAGGAGGAGGAAGAAAGGAGGAACAAAGAAGGAAGAAAGAAGGAAAAAGAGGAGGGAGGAGGGAGGAGAGGAGGAGAGGAGGAGGAGGAGGAGGAGGAGGAGGAGGAGGAGGAGGAGGAGGAGAGGAGGAGGAGGAGGAGGAGGAGGAGGAGGAGGAGGAGGAGAGGAGGAGGAGGAGGAGGAGGAGGAGGAGGAGGGAGGAGGGAGGAGGGAGGAGGAGGAGGAGGAGGAGGAGGAGGAGGAGGAGGAGGAGGAGGAGGGAGAGGACTGAAGGGGGGTGAGGGGGCGGCCCGGTGCACCCTCGGGGGTGCGGGGGCGGCCAGGGCGCGCGCCTCGTGGCCTGGCCCGGGGCGCTCTCCTCTCCGGGAGGCGCGCGAGGCGGGCAGGGGCTCTCGAGGGCGGCCGGGGGCCCACGAGGCGCGCGGGCATAGCACAAGTGGTGCCCACGAGCCGTGCCCACGAGCCGGCTCGGCCGGCCGCGCCGCAGCAAGGACGCGCCCGAGTCGGCGCGGCTGCCGCGGGCCAGCGCGCCCCGCTCCTGCGAGCAGCGTCGCTGCGTGCCCCTCGGCCTCGGCCTCAATGATGTTGTCAGCAGCCTCGAGAAGGCCCCAGACACGTCCAAGGCGGCCCCCAGAGGCCTCCCACAGCACCCCCACGAGGCCCCCAAGTGGCAACAGCCATTGGTTTTGGCCATCTGTTCTCGCACCGTCGGCGCTCCTGACCCTTCGGGTTCTCGACGCCCTAAGGTGGCCCAAGAGGCCCTGGCTGCCCGTCGGCCTGTCGGTCTTGGCTTCGGGCCTCGACCGCTCGTGGTCAGCCAGTCTCCGAGGTCCGGTGTCGCTGTCGCCGTGGACGTCCGGAGGGCGGGAGGGGAAAAAACACAGGCACGATGAATCGTCGACTCCCAGGAAAAGATGGGAGAACATGGGAAGTGTGGGGGGGAAGACGAGGACCCAGAAAGTGTGGGAAAACACGGGGAATCCTGCTATCTGTGTGTATTTGTTCGTGTGTCCCTGGGCCCCATCCACAGGGCGGGACAGGGGGAGTCGCCGGGCGCGCGGGGGCAGGCGGGCACAGTCGACGACGCCCAGCTGGTGACCTTCAGCGTCGACGCCGCCGGTGGCCGGGGCAGTTTGCAGCTCGGCATCCGCCCGAGCCAGGGAAGAAGCGCACCTTTGAGTCGGGCGCGTCCTTCTACAGGGGGAATATTCCAGAATAGTCGAAAAATATGTTGGGGCATTTTTTGACTATGTTCTACTTTTCGTCAAAAATCCCCCTGTAGGGGGACAGGCCCGACTTAAGCGTGCCTCTCTGCTCTCGGATGCAGCTGCTGGGAGGTCAGACTCTGACTTTGCCCTGGTCCGAACTCCCGTTCCATGCGGCTCAGTCCCGCTGAGTCCGGCTTGATCCCGCTGAATCCGGCTTAACCCCGCTTGATCCGCGGCCGAATTTGGCGTAGCAGCCCTCCAATGGGGCTTAATCCTCAGCCTTTCCGACGAAGACCTCCCAGTAGTTGCGTCCTAACTTGCCACACGAGCACAAGATCGCGAAGGCCTCATGGCTGGTGCCACCGACCCTGAAGGGGGACGACGGAGACGACGGATAGCGTTCAAGCACGGAAAGAGAGCAACCGAATTGTCTCCCCGCCCTGCTCAGGACAGGAGCAGGCTCCACTGCTGCACGAACATGAGATCTCGGAGACTCTCGGAGATCCGCGCGGACTTCTCGGATCGGCGCTGGGCCCCCCGCCTGGCTCGCGGAGCGCGCCAGAGGCCGTGCGGGAGGCGCCCCCACAGGAGGGCCCGGCGCCGGCCCAGGCAGTCCGCGCGGACCTCCGACCGCCTTCTTGTATGCCGAGGTCCCCGGCTGCTTCCGACGGGGCGCGCCCCAGAAGCTCTCTCCGGATGGGCCCCCGTGGGTCCTTCGTTGGAGTCGCGGGGCCGATGATGATTCGCAGCAGCAGGAGGACCAGCAGAACGCAGCAGCGCGAGCAGGGCAGGACGATGAGGAAAAGGCCGAAGACAAGGGGGGGAAAGGACAAGGAGGAGGAGGAGGATGAGGAGTTAGAGGAGGGTGACGACGACCAGGGAGAGTTCGTCCATCAGCGTCCTCTCCGCCGCCCTCGCTAGAAACACGCCGCACCCTCATCATTCACATCCTCCTCGCATTATTCGCCCTCCTTCCTCCACCTCCAGTTCCTCCCCTCCGCCCCTCCTGAGCCATCTCCTCTCCCTCTTGCTTCTTTCCCCGGGTGCTCCTCCTCTGAGCCCCCTCCCCCTCCTCGTCCTCTCCTGCTCCCCACCTTTCCTTCCCTCGTTCCCCTCCTCCCCCGCCTGGCCACCTCCGCCCTTCACCTTCACCTTCACCTTCACCTCCTCCTCCTCCTCCTCCTCCTCCTCCTCCTTCTCCTCCTCCTCCTCCTCCTCCTCCTCCTCCTCCCCCTCCGCCCTCCACCTCCTACTCCATTCCTTCTCCTTACCTATACGACCACCCTTCGGGTGATAAGGAGGTTCGGGGGGGGCAGGAACCAACGTCGCACTCGATCGGTCTCACAATCGATCTCACTATCGGTCTCGCTCGATCGATCTCACGAGATCGATATCACAATCGATCTCACTCGATCTATTTCATTCGATCGATTTCACAATCGATCTGATTATCGATCTCACAATCGATCTCACTATCGATTTCACTTTCGATCTCACAATCGATCTCACATTCGGTCTCTATCGATCTCACTATCGATATCACAATCGATCTCACAATCAACGTCATCATCATCATCATCATCAACATCATCGTCATCAACGTCGTCAACATCATCATCATCATCATCATCATCATCATCATCATCATCGGGACACCATTATCGTCATCACCACATCACCATCATCATCAACATCATCATCACCATCATTATCATCATCGGGACACCATCATCGCCACAATCATCATCATCATCAACGTCATCATCATCATCGGGACACCATCATCATCAGCATCGGGACACCATCATCATCAGCATCATCATCATCACCATCATCATCATCATCATCTCATCATCATCATCATGAACATCATCAGCATCATCATCATCGGGGCACCATCATCATCAGCAACATCATCATCAACACCACCATCATCATCATCATCATTAGGACACAATCATCATCGTCACCATCATCATCATCAGCATCATCGGGACAACACCATCGTCATCATCATCGTCAACATTATCATCATCATCATCATCAACAGCATCATCATAAACCTCACCATCACTATCATCATCGGGACACCATCATCATCATCATCATCATCATCATCATCATCTTCATCATCATCTCACCATCTCATCATCATCAACATCATCAGGATCATCAACAACATCATCATCATCATCATCATCTGGACACCATCATCGTCAGCAACATCAGCATCACCAACATCATCAGCATCATCGGGACACCATCTTCCTCACCACCATGGCCATCATCATCATCATCATCATCATCATCATCATCATCATCGTCACCAACATCGTCAACAACATCATCATCATCATTGGGACACCATTGTCATCACCACCATTACCATCATTATGATCATCGTCAACATCATCGACATCATCATCATCATCATCATCATCATCATCATCATCATCATCATCATCATCATCATCATCATCGGGACACCGACGGGACACCCGCGGGACACCGGCAGGACACCGCGCGGCACCGGCCCCCGGAAAGGAAACATTTGGTCCGGCCGCGCCTCAGCCGGAGGCGGGACACCGGCGGGACACCGCGCGGCACCGGCCCCCGGAGAGGAATCATTTGGTCCGGCCGCGCCTCAGCCGGAGGAGACTTTCTTCTCGCCCGCCCACGTAGCTTCGCCTCGCTCGCACGCACGGCACGCACGAGCACGAAACCGAAACCGATTTCCTTGTAGGGGGGCTCTCCGTTCCACTTCGATCTCACCCCCTCACCTCCGATAAATAATTTCTCCCTGTCGCACCCCGAGGCCAATTTTTAGAGCGGGCCGGGCGTTTCGCATGAGAATTCCTGACCATTTGTGACCCTGAAGCTCTTACAAAATGACAACAGTTTCACGGATTGAGGGCGGGTGGTTTTCAACACATGGCTCTCGCCTTAGCGCCGCGCACATTCCTTTCAAACATTTGCAAGAGTTTCGCGAATTCAGGACGGGCGGTTTTCTACATGTGGCTCTCGCCCTAGTGCCGCGCACATTCGTTTCAAGCAATTGCAAGAGTTTCACAGATTGAGGGCGGATTGTTTTCAAAATGTGGCTCTCGCCTGAGCGCCGCGCACATTCGCATTAAACAGTTGCAAGAGTTGCACGGATTGAGAGCGGTTCCTTTTCAAAGTATGGCTTTAGAGCCTCGCACATTCGTTATAGAAGACTGCCGAAGTTTCACGAATTTCCATGATCAGCGTACCAAGAATTGTGTGTGTGTTTTTGTTGGAAGGGTTCAGGATTGTGAGGGTGCAACAGTTACGTTGATTCGCTGTGTTGAAGTCTAACGAATGGTGTTCTGGCAACGTTCAGAATCGCCAAGACGCAACAGTCATGGTTATCCGTGGCGTTGGAATCCCGTGAACATTGTTTTGGCATGCTTCAGGGTCTTCAAACGGTTGTCTTCCAACGAGGCAGTTCCCTCAGTGGGCATGAACCGTCGTAGGGGCCTGTGAAGAGGGAGCTTGGAGGGAGGGTTTATTCCAACATCGTTGATGATTCTTGGGTTTCCACTAGTCCTCCTCCTCCTCTTCCTCCACCTCCTCCTTCCCCGCGGGATGCCTCCGCCTTTCCGCCTTTCGCCTCCTCATCCCCCCCCCCTACAGCATACTCGGCCTGACAGCGCTGAGGTCGGTACGCATGCAAGTGGCCCTCGCCACACCACGGGCGCGATTCGTACAGCTCGGTCGCCACAGCCGCGTTCAGTCGCCCCGCCCATTTACGTGATGGCCCTTCGACGGGCTTCCTAGAGCCACGAGGCCTCCTTCTCCTCCACCTCCTCCTCCTCCTTCTCCTCGTCCTCCTCCTCCTCCTCCTCCTCCTCCTCCTCCCCCTCCTCCTCATTGTCCGCTCCCTCTGGCCGCTTTCGCCTTCCACAGCTACCAGATGTGGGTACGACTCTCCTCTCTCCCCCGACCACGTCCTGTCATGTCCGTGTGTGTGCGTGTGTGTGTGTGTGTGTGTGCGTGCTTGAGTGTGCAAGCGCACTGGATTTCACGGTTTGGTAGTTCTTGCTGTTTCAGTCCCCATTGGAACGTTCTCGGTGCTTCAGAAGGGTGCGTCCGCTGCAGCGCGAGGTTCATTTTAGGATCGGCGTTTTGCTCCCGTCGTTCCGAATGGCGCCCCCGTGCGGGTCACCCTTCTGGATCCGACTCCTCCCTCCTCGTTGTCGCCTCCCTCCTTTCCCCTCCTCCGCCTTCCCCAGCTCCTGCTGCTGCTGTTCGTCCTCGTCCCCCTTCCTCATCCCCTTTTCCTCCTGCCCACCCTCATGCTCATCCGCCACCTGCGCTGCACGCAGCTCCCGTTTCCCGACTGCGCCTAACACGGTGGGTTCCTCTTTTGAGTTCCAGGTCCGCATTGACGCGCCTCGGCGGATAGAGAAACAGTCAGCGCAAAGGGAGGGGACGGTTGGGAGGGGTCGGATGTCAGATAAGGTGCGAGCGCACCTGGCCTGCCGCGTCCCCAGAGGCCCCGTGCAGCGGAGGGCAGAATGAAGGAGACGACTCCTGGACGGAAGCAGAGCACATCGTGGGACGTCCAGGCTCCCTCCCTGCCCGCAGCCTTCGCCCCTCGTCGCCCCTCCCTCCTCGCCCCCCTTTGCCCCCCTCTGCCGATCGACCCTCAGACCTACGCTTGCCGCTCCCTGCGCGGACCGCATCTTTTGCCCTGCTTGGCCGATGCGTCGTGCGACGTGGCCTGCGAACGACCGGGATCCCCCTGCGAACGAAGGACCGAAGTCCGCCTCTGCGAACGACGACCGGCCTCTGCGAGCCGCCCTGCCTCTGCGAGCCCCCTCTGCGAACGAGCGAGCGGCCGAGCCCCCTCTGCGGGCGACCGAAGCTCCTCGTGCCGGCGGCGGGGGTCTTGGCATCGCTCGGACGTGTGCACCTTTTCCTCGGCGAGGACCATGGAGGAGCATCCTGGATGACTTGGCGAAAAAAGCACGCACAAAGTAGACAAAATACACGAGGAAGGGACGTCCGAGCGATGGCACGGGGTGGAGGCGGCCTGTGCGTCGACGCCAGCGGGCTGGGCGCGGTTCTCGTGGTGCTGGCACGGGCCGTGGTGCAGCAGGAGTCCCGGCTGGAGGAGCTGGAGGCGCCCGGCGCCGGGAGAGGGAGCGAGGATCGGTTGCTGCGAGTCGAAGAAGGAACGCTCGCCATAAACGGAAGAAGAAGAAGAAGAAGAAGAGGAGGAGGAGGAGGAACGTTCGCTGTGAGTCGAAAAAGGAACGGAGGAGGAGGAATAGGCGGATGATGAGGAGGAGGAAGAAGAGGAGGAAGTTGAGAAGGAAGAGGACCAACCCAAAACCCATGGCCCACAGTTCGGGCACGTTCGCTGCTAGCATCACGCTACACAGTGCACATGCCAAGCCTGTATCTGCACAGGCTGTGATTTTTTATTGTGCAGTACCAGCTTAACACCGCATGCTGTTACAGCCAATTCTTTGCTTAGCACCACTTGGTTAGATTCGACGGTTTAGGGTAAACCAGAAAACCCTTGCCCACAGCACGGGCACGCTCGCTGCAGGTACCTCGTCACACAATTCACGCGAAGTCTGTGTCTGCTCAGGCTACGCTTTTTTGTGTGCTATTTTTTCGTATTACACTTTGCCTATACCGCAAGCTTCAATACTATACTATCATGCGGAACGTCTTCTTGCTCAAAAGCGTGCACGTGAGCAATCTGCCCACGTGTACGCTTTACAGCACTTGCCACTTATTGTCCTTGGCAGCAACACTCAGTATCAGCCGCACCTTGCGCAACCGCCTGTACCATGCCTACTTCTCAGCTCGGCCATTGTTTCCACATCTTTCGGGGGCCCCGGGGGGGGGGGGGGGCACTTGCTGACGATGCGGAGGAGGCGGAGGACCTTTCTCTACTACCGCAGCACAAGCTCGCTTGTTACACAGGCAGTACTATACCCACACTCTTTAAGCCAGTACCCGCACAGGCTTATTCATCTTTACTTTACTGCCATGTCATGTGCCTTTAGTGCTAGGCCAACCCACAAGCAAGCCTACAGCACCCACTCGTAGTAAACTATGCCTGGTTATTACTGCTTCACGCGCTTGGATCTACAGGCCAGCCTGCACAGGCCAGCTTTTGCAGCGTGCCCAACCAACTTTCTCACCTCTTCTCACATGCCTACCTCTCGTACTCCTGACACGAACACGGTGACGGTGGCCCCTCCACCTAGGAACCGAAGGGCCAGCCTACTGCTGGCCAAAAGAGCGGGCCTACTGCTTGCAAAGATAGACCATTCTACAATACGAGCCAACAGTGGCATATCCAGCACTTCTTATTTTGATTATGCACCTTCAACCGACCAGACATACCAGCCATACTATTGTTACAGGGCTTACGGTGGAAGAGAAGTGCATACAGGCTCGCGTTTTGTGCTCCACCACCGTGGGCACGTGAGCAATCTGCCCACTAGACCGTCGTGGACTACATGCTGCACACCGTCCATTGCAGCGCTACCTATTGTGCTAGTCGAGTATCTTGCTACACTTGCCTGTACCTCGCTTCGTTCCGCACCATGGCCATACAGTCTATGCAACAAAATGGGCTGGGGGGGCTGGGTTACACTGGTGGGGTGGAGGGGGAGCATACCTTTGGCGGCCATCAGACGCCACCAAGTTTTTACAGACCCTGTCCTGTCATGCTGCATCGCAGTTGCACCTGTTCCAACCCAAACGCACTACCACTTGAACCTGTAGGGCTGGTTCTGATTTACCGTGCGTTTATCTTACTAAGGTTAGTGCCGTCTTATCGCACCTGGCAGGCGCCTACTCGTTTGATTAAGGTATTCCTTGACTCGTTTTCCCACCTTGCCCGTAGCGCCCGCCAGGGTCTTTTTTTCTGAGCCGAGTCGCGTACTGTCCTTCCTGCAAAAACGCCACATGCACTACCTTAGGATGGCTTAGTATAAGAAAAGGGGGAGGCGGAGCAGGAGGAGGAGGAGGAGGAGGAAGAAGAGGAGGAGGAGGACGAAGAGGAGGACCAACCGAAACCCGTGGCCCACAGTTCGAGGAAGAGGAGGAGGATCAGGAGGAAGAGGAGGAGGAGGAGAAGGAGGAGGATGAGGAGGAGGAGGAGGAGGACGAGGCGGAGGAGGTGGAGGAGGTGGAGGAGGAGGAGGAGGAATGATAAACATAAGCAGACGCATGAGCATAATCATAATAACACTAAACATAGTAATAAGAATGATAAAGTGAAGCAGAAGAAAACGAATAATGATAGGACAGCGAATCATACTAATACTAAGAAGAGTAAACATACGAATAATAGTAATACTACTACGAATAAGAATAACCATACTACTACTACTACTACTACTACTACTACTACTACTACTACTACCACCACCACCACCACCACCACCACCACCACCACCACCACCACCACCACCACTACTACTACTACTACTACTACTACTACTACTACTACTACTACTACTACTACTACTACTACTACTACTACTACTACTACTACTAAGAAGCATAAGAAGAGGAGGAGGAGGAGGAGGAGGAGGAGGAGGAGAAGGAGCGTTCGCTGTGAATCGAAAAAGGAACGGTCGCCATGAACGGAGGAGGGTGAGGAGGAGAGGGAGGGGGGAGGAGGGAGGAGTTGAGTAGGGCCGAGGGTCAGAGAGCGCCTTCCCTGCAGGATCATCGAAAAGGGGACGTCAAGGTGGTCAACCGCCTCGCTGGTGAAGCCGACGAGGATGTGCAAAGTCCAGACATTCGCCTACGTCTAAAGTTTGGGCTTGACGCCGGGTGTGTTGCACCAGTTTCAGCTTGGCCGAACAGTCTGGTTGCGCCCCTTGACGTCCGTTTGGGGTGTTCTACCGATATGACCCCCCAGCCTTACTCGGGGGAGTAGGGAAGAGGAGGAATGGGTAGACGAGGAAGAGGAAGAGGAGGAGGAGGAAGAGGAGGAGGAGGAGGAGGAGGAGGAACAAGTAATAATTATAATCCGAGGACGGGGAGAACAGAGGTCCCAACAAACCCTGGCATCCGAAACCCTCACCACAGAGTATATGGTACCAGAGAAAATCCCCAATCAGAATGTGGGGGGGCTATGGGGCTTTAGGGCTTTAGGGCTATGGGGCTATAGGGCTATAGGGCGATGTGGCCACAGGGATATTGGGCTAGAAGCCTTTAGGGCTATTGGGGCTATAGGGCTACAGGACTGTAGGGCTATAGGGCTAAGGGCTATAAGGCTATTCGGGCTATGGGGCTATAGGGCTATATACGGCTATATACGGCTATAGGGCTTTAGGACCATAGGGCTATAGGGCTACAGGGCTATAGGGCTATAGTGCTATAGGGCTATGGGGCTATAGGGCTATGGAGCTATGGGGCTATTGGGCTATTGGGCTATTGGGCTATAGGGCTATACGGCTATAGGGTTATAGTGCTATAGGGATATAGGGCGATTCGGCTATTGGGCTATAGGGATATAGGGCTATTGGGCTAGGCACCCCCGGGCACTTCTGGGCACCCCGGGCACCCGGGCATCCCTGGGCACCCGGGCACCCGGGCACCCCTGGGCACCCCCGGGCACCCGGGCACCCGGCCCTGGCCACCGAAATCGGCCACACACCTGGGCACCCGGGCACCCCCGGGCACGCCCGGGCACCCGGGCACCCGGCCCCGGCCACCGAAATCGGCCGCTCACGTCAGCTTTATATCCGCTAGGACCCCTACAGAGGCAAGCTCTGATTGGGGAACTTACGCTACGGTAGAGGTGGGGTCAGTTTACATACCGATGGACACCCCAGGGCGATGGATGAAGAAGTTTTACCGCTACCACTACACGTTGGGATATTTCGGCGCCACCAGCGTTGTGTGGAAACTGAGTGTTAACACCAGCTGCGAAAACACAGCCTGGATTTTGTCGCAACGAACCGCATCGTACCAGACACCGACGACGCCAGCGGCCTTTGGTCCGCCAGACCCGTACATCGACTTCATTTCCGCAACGCCGTGCGGATCCGGACCAACGAGGACGCCAATGGGAGGGACGTGCCCGAAAGAAATCGTTCATGGCCGCACTGCCGTGGGAAGGGGCGAAGGGTTTGGCAGAGAACAACTTCTTCTATTTCGAGCCCCTCAAAATCACCAACGTAAAGCAAATTCGCAAGGCGCCTTGGAGTCGACATCATGCACCGCCTATGCTTGAATCATGCTTTCCGCTTCCATCTTCCCCAAAAAAACAACAAACTGCAATACCCTCGCGGCGCAGGTCTACAAGAGGGCCGAGTTACAGGACGCGGAACGCAATACCATCCTCTTCAATACCCGCATGAGACAGGAATGGGTAGGCGAGGATTCCTCCTACCTGCTACCAACGAGTTCGAGTTCGTCCACGTCTTGGAAACGAGCGAGGCGATGCCAATACTACAGCGTTTGACTGACGCCTTTACAACATGGAGAGGAAAAGTCATACATTTCCACAGCGAACGTCTAGTCTTCGAGCTGTTCCACTTCCATATGACCCCCCAGACGCGCGCAGTCCTACGCGCTCACGAGGGCGACCCCGACGGCAACTTTGCGCCGTTTGTCGACTTCGACGACGACGAGCCCTACTTCAGAAATTGCGGAGCAGAGTACCGCGACCCCATAAACCACTACGAGGGGCCTGACATCGCTAAGAGTTCCACTTGAGGTCTCCATCCCACGGCCACCCGCCATGGCCACGCATCGGCAGCGCTGAGTGGCGCGCGCCAGCAGACGTCAACATCGAGGAAGGAGCCACCATCGAGTGCACGGCCGCCAACCGACCCCGCCGCATGGGCCCATAATTGTGAGGCGCCCCCTCCCGCGTCAAGCCGCAGACTGGGTCGAGCCGAAGGAGGTCCTAGTCTCCGGGCCCATGAAGTTCTTCGCGAAGGACATCCACGGCTTCACGTTCCACGTCGAGGACGACGTACGAGCGGAAGACCACATGATCCTCGCGGTGTTGTGGAGCGACTTCTTCAAGCATTGCGCCGACGCCTACGATGTCCCACTGGGCCGGATGGGCCTCGCGCCACGGGCGAGGGCCGCCGACGTCGTGCCCTACTCCATCCACGGCGCGCATTGA